ATTCTAATCTTGAATCTTCGACACCTTTATCAGGCGAACGCATTGTATAACGCAACTGGCTCATCCCATCTTGGCCCGAATCAAACGGCGTGAAATGGGCGATCTAATCATTCATTTCCTAATTTCTTTCCGGAGGAGACGACTTGTTGAAGCCAGATGCGCGTCTTGTAGATAGCGAAGAGATCCCGCACAAGCTCACGGAAATCAATACGACTGCAAACCACAAACACGGACATTACTTATCGAAAAGCTATCTCATCTCGTGGAAAGAAAACCTCGTACCGGTCTGCTTCAAAGAAAAAGGTTAGTTTGTGACGATCAAACTGATATTCAGCATCAATCACATTCATCGGAAGGAGACGCTGGCGCACTTTACTCTTGCACACTTCAAAGACTTCATGCTCCTCTTTACGCTACGATTTGATGTTCGAAACCATGTTATGCTATTTTCATACAATCTTTTAGAATCTTAAAATTCATTACCTGCTCGTTCAGCATTTCACACTCTCGCTGGTTTGCCACACATAATATCTTTTTGGTCGGAAGATCATGGCGCTTGCTCCGCCCCATTGATTCATCTCCAAGGCCTGCAGATTCAGCCGCGCCAATAGTCGAGATATCTTGGCTCCGTTGGACGATCCGTCCAATATCCTCTCCTCGGTCTGCCTCCACCTAGCATACAGGTGTGAGCGCGAAAAGCCTTACAACTAAGTATGGACATAAATGCATACCTTAACGTATTCACCAGGCATGTAAGATGCGCGGCCAGCAAACATTTCCTGTCGACCCCGTTTGAATTCTACGTCATAGTAAGCTTCAGGTGGTGAAGAGTGACGAGTGCCATTAGCGCCCATTCGAACATCAGGGGGTAATGGTGGAGCAGACTCCATGTGCCCGCGTGACCAATCGAGACCAACGCCAGCAGAATTACTACGGTTTAAAGATGGGGAGTACTCCATCGGGGGTGCTGACGCAAAGAATTGGGGACCCTCCATAGACTGGCTACGTATTTGGCGCGAAGACGAAAAATTGCCATATTCCACACTGTATGATCGTATCACGCGACTCGAACTATTCTGATGAGGCAATTTCTCCGGTTGTTCAGTATCGAAGGTTTCAGGATATGGCGCCATTGCAAATGCATCAGAGTACCGGCGATACGGCATCGGCGGTCCATACTGCAGATGGGAGCAAATAAAAATACATGTCAGCCCATAAATTAGCATACCTTAAGTAAAGTGAGAAAGTAGACGAACCTGATACTGATGCATAGGAGAATCTATCGGAACACTAATTCGCGGGGGACGAATAGGTGGCAGCGGTTGACCATGTTGCATCATACCACTTCCAGAATGAAAACTTCGAGAAGTTTGCAGGAATGCTTGCCCTATTGCTTGTTGGTGCTGCATGTGGTGGTGAGGTGGGAGTGCATACTGCTTATTACCATTAAACATATTGTATCCAGCTGATCCATACGCTGGTGAATATGAGAATGAGCGAGCACGCAATCGTTGCGATGGCTCTTGTGGTGGAGGTAGTGGGGGGTTGATATCGGGCGTGCACTGCAAAGTAAAGTCGACCGATAAAGCTCGCGAATCCTTTGACAACCTAAGAATTTCAATGACAATCATAATGTGCAACTGTTAGATATAAAGGCAACACACCAGTAAGAAAAAACATTCACCTGGTGTGGCTGTTGTAGTTGTCTATATATTGGTTGCTGGCCTCACTGTTTTCAAATGCGATGGAAAAACCATCACGTCAGCGTACTATAAAAAGCTAATTACCAAACAAAAACATACGTGGAAAGCAGTGAACCAACACTATTATCACGAAACATGTCAGCATGTCCCCCGTCGGGTTTTCGTAATGACGATCCAAAACGTGGTGATGTCAAAAATTCTTCGTCCTGCAGGTGCCACGTCTGTGCATCCTTCCTATTGCCCAAAACAGGAGACTTAACATGAACCATCGATCCAGCACGAGCCCCATTGCCACTGTCAACACTAATACTTCTTGGAGGCAAAGGAATCTGTGAGAGCATGGGGAAACACGCTTCAGCGAAAGATGGATCTACAGACGGTGAAGCTGGAATCGAAGCTGCATCAAGTTGGTTTGAAGACGGCTCTTGAAGCTGTTCTTCATCAGATAACGAATCGTAGATAGACGATCCCGATGAAGACAAACACGAACTCACCACACCACGGAAACTGGCAATATTTTTGAAATTGGCATCTTCAATATCTCCGAGCGGCGAAGTGCTTCCAAACGTTGTAGAAATTGGATTCACGTGCGCATCTAAAGCTCCACGATGGTCCATCTGATTGTCAGCCAACGAAGGGGGTGACAGCGATTCGGGAGAACTCGTAAGCGTTGGGGGTGGAGACGTCAAACGCCGACCAAGTGGCCGCCAAGCGTCAACCGTCATGGGCGGTATTCCAGCTTCACTCATGGACATACCTCGTGGCTTTATCCGCCGACGATCGACGTTGATGTCGGCTCCTGGATGGTGTCGATGACGGCGTGTGGGTGATTCTGGTCGCGGCTCGGAGTCAACTGTGGATAGCGCCATCATGCTCGTAGACAAGAACTCAGACCATTCCTCTTGCGTGGACGTACCGCCGCCCGAGCAGTCCAGCGACGAGTGGCGCGTACGGTGCATGGTAACGCGAGCTTTCTTATGTGCGTGAGGCGCAACCCTGAACGGGTACGGAGGAAGGGCGGTAGAGCTCGGCTTGCTTTGAAGTTGCGGACTGACTCGCGAATTGTATGATACGGCCCTTTTTCCTTCTTTCCGTTTATATAATTTACGCCCCGTTGATTAATACTAATCTCAAGTGCTACAAGGGACCAGCCGCGATTTGGGTAGCAGAAATAGAGCACACGTCACAAAATGCAAACGATTTTAGCAGTGTAAGACGTTTTTACGTGACCCAGTAAACAAACACAGTATATACGAACTTTAATGAAAATGTTTTTAGCTGTGTTTTTATATATCATATGTTTTAGGAACGTCAAAATATATATACCGATTATTTTCATCATAAACCTTTGGCCAAACGATTATTAGGATTTATGGACGTAAGAACCCATTGATTTCTGTACAGACGTAGTGGGCTTGTCTATCACTGAGCTATTGCGTTATCAGAATGCCCAAAACGGGATTTTCGAGTTAAAGTTGGCTTTGTATATACTAGTAGACTCTCACCCAATCAGCTGATATGTGGTGTAATAATCAGAGAGAGTTTCTATTGCTCGACATCGTCGGGCCGTCAAGATTGAATTAAACTTTTATTTCCTCGCGTTGACGAATGTTCGATTGCTGTTGGAATATGCTTTTAAAGATTTTATGAAATACGGTCAATCATCAGAGTATGCGGAGACCAGGGCAGTTACTGATCAAGGTCACTGTCTTTCACCGAAGTTTATCGAGTAGTTTGTGAACAAAGATCAATATTACTCGTTCATCGGCCTCTCACACCCAGTGAATATTTGGATAAACTAAAGACGCGCGTGGGTTGTGCGAGCAGTGTGCTCAATAATTATAGGATCTTTCAGCAGTCAACTAGTCGAAAGAGATTGTCTTCAAACGTCTAGTTCACGCCGGGGGTATAGTAAACAGTGCAGCATTGTTGCCGTGCTCCTTCCACAATTCCGCTAGAGTACGCGCTAACAAACGCATAGAATACGTTTTCAGTGGCCATCTCTGAGAACGGAAGTTGACACTCGTTTCAACTAAGAGCGTAATGTTTAGCAGCTTGCCAACTGGTATTGAGGCGTTATACATGTATAGATATGATTGCTACGGGAGTCTCTTCAGTTGTGCCGCAACCATACCACCTTAACAACGCATAGAAGGTGGATGTGTATACTACACCCGGGAGTGGAACAAGAGTCTTTCGAGTAACGTAGTACTTGCTTGTTCATACATGGAGTTAAAAGTGTCGTATATTTTAAACTTAGTCTATTTAAAACTGACACGGTGAGTATCCATCTAATTATTTTGAATGAAAAAATTTGCTTTGTATAACGTAAGACCAACAGGCCACGTATCTCACGACTTCAATCGTTGCGAAGTCTTATCGCCCTCATCAGTATTAAAACGTTGGTACCCCCAGGAACACGGAATCGTAATGCATGTTTTGCACGATCGCACAGAAGTACGAGAACGATTACACAAAAGTGCAGCGAAATTGTACGCCCTACTACGGTATGCATCTGTCAAAGCCTACTTCCTCATGATCTGAGTCAATGCTGGGGCTCGAGCTTTATTGCCTCTCGGTACGTCGGACATTAGTGAAGGCTCAACAAGCACCGCCTGGCCTTCGGGCTTTACTCCGTTTCTTGCACAAATCTTCTGCTACTTCCAGGAGACGAACGCAGCTTCAACCGAAGCACTGTACGTAAGTTCCCATTTTTGCGCTCGGCCTTTGAGCATGGAAGTAGCTAGCACCACGCGCTGTTGCACGTATTGAAACATGGTGGATGCCATAGCCATCTCGGCTTCTCTCACTCAGGGGACGCTTATTTCTCCATCTTTACCCTCAAAGCTCTTAACGCTCACCATGAGCGACCTGGATCGGAATTGAAAGAAATTATCCGTCGTCGACGGTGGCGTCATATACGCAGGTGACGCTGAAAGTATCGCATCTTCTGCTGTAAGTGTTCTACCAGAGCATTTCCATAGTTTGAAAACGCCTCCAGGCGCGGTTATGGCCTCGGGACCTTCTCAGACCCCAGCAGGAACATCAGACTGATAAGCCCGTTCTGCATGCTCTGAGGCAAATAAGTGTATTCATTTATCCTCACAGAGGATAAGTCGTTACGACCCAGGCGTAGATTGACTACGAGTGCTACCAAGTGCAGCGGGGCTGTCGTTGCCGTTTGTTTAGAGTAAGCTAAGCTAAGGTCACCGAAATTATCTTCTTTAAAAAAACAGTACAAGTGTAGCGGTCGCAATCTGCAACTTCTAAGTTCTAAAGCCTTACCAAGGCAAACAAACTCTTATATTTAAATACCTATCTGTTTTTCATTGTGTATCCACACAGTGGTGTGGGTACACCGTGACAAGAAGCGGCCACGTGGCAAGATTGCCGGTTGTAATGCACATTACTATACTTTTGCTATATTATCTAGGTTTTGCTATGGTAACTAGATAAATCTAAGATTTCAGATATTGGTGGCTCTGCCGCACAATCTTGTGCGACCCACCCTTTCTTACAAAGGTACATGAAACCCCGTTACTGTGGTGGAAAAGATGGCCCTTACAGGCTGTGACAGCAAGCTTTTTAGTGTCCCAAAATTGATTTCAAGAATTCGCCATTTATTCCGTCGGTAAAGCTTTGACTTCCGTCATAAGGGTTACATTATTCCAAGCAGATGCTAACGACGGTAAAATCATCAGTGCTTCCGAAATCGCCATATTTGAGCGGTAGCGTTTTCTCAGCACATAACAAGAAGCTACTTGCCATGAAGTAACCTCCTATCAAGTCACGGTACATAGGCTTGGCTTCAAACTATTTGGTGTATGTCGATATTTTGTACCATTGTGTACAGAGACATCGACATTACTGAGTATGGCAAGATGACTGACTATTCTTTTTTACCGAGAATACCACCGAGGCAAAATCAAAAGCCAGGTCGGATCAATGCGGTGGCGGATACTCTTTTGCGATACCCAGACTATGAGCTGTTGCATGTCACGATAGCGACGTTGCGAATCGATTCGTCGATACACACAAGGGTGCAAGATGTGTTGCGTTGCCAAGCTTTGTGGAGCAAGGAAGTCTAGAACTCGGATGGCGCGTAGCGAAGAGTTGTGCTGTACGATTGTATCGCTACTTTATATTCCTAAAGTCGCGGTTTCCATACAACAGGTAGCGTGTAGTGGTATATCACCATAAAATCTCAAACAGAATACCCGTGAGGATTACAGTATTATACGTTGCTCTCATAATAGAGCTGAAGCGTGCATGTAACGGGGTTACACGTACCCTGGTAACAGAGGTGTGTGTCACACGAGATGGGCATGGTGTGACTGTACCCAAACAAGAATACGGTATGTGGCTAGGTAGCCAGTAGTTATGCATGTATTTAGATTTTACTATATCTCTAGAAAAATCTATACATTTAAAATTAGGCGGCTTTGCCGCAGATAAAATAAATAAAAATCAGTTTTGAATTTAAACCGAAGAGTTTTTAAACCTTAGTTAAGGTACTAACTACTCTTGGAGGTACCGGATTGCGATCCGCTACACTCTTATTGGTTCTTGTAAGGAGCGAAATGTCGGTGACCTAAATTACGCTTCCTCAAGCGCAAAGCCACAGCGGCCACGCTCAAGTATGTGGCTAGGTAGCAAGTACTTATGCATGCATTTAGATTTTACTACATATATTTAGGAAAATCTGTAGAGTAATTAGCCTTGGGTTAAGGCAATG